ATCTCATTCAGTGTAGTTTAGATACAGCACCCCTGCCACTATTTTAAAGCATGGGGGAACTGATACATGAGATGCAGGAGGCTGCTGGAGTGCAGTAATTGCCACGCTCCAGTGTCTCTGCTCATGTATAGGCACCCCTAGCATTTCTGAGTGATTTCTGCTTTTACATGTTGCAAGTACAACTGCTGTCCAAATCATCCTTGATGTTACAAGGGGAGTCAATGCTTCAGTGAGCTTCCTACCCTTTGATAAAACTGGGAGGTGTATTTCTCTTCCTATATTGTATGTTGCCTACCCCACCAGCACTCCCTCTCCTGATTTAGCCTTAAAAGAACTGTTATAGTTTGAGACTTCAAACAGACTGCCTTATTAAATCTTCAGATTTTCAATATGCAATTTTTAGTCTACGCACTGGGAATTTTACCATCCGAATCTCAAATATTACCAAGCTTTGATAGGCTTAAGTGGATTTAAAGTCAAAGAGTTTACTTAAAAATGAAGTCAATACCTCACTATCACTATTAAAAGCAGTAAAGTATAAATGCTTCAAAGTATGCGTTTTGAATTCCCACCTTTTCCATAAAATCTCTTTGAGAGATCGTCGAATATTTTGTCGAATTTGAGAGTTGGGTTGTGACTGAATTGTGTTGGCTGCTGCTTTTGCTTGTGCAGTTGCAAATGCAGCGGAAACAGAAGCAGAGGACATTGCGGGTTTTCTCAGGCCTCCAGCAAAGCTGGAAGACGCAGTTGATTTTCTGGAAATTGATGAAGCATGGGGAACTGATGACTGTTTTGGAGAGGAAACACTGCCTGATGAAGACCAAGATTTCTTGGGAATAACACCTTTAAATCCTGCAGCAGAGTGTTTAATTGGATGTTTAGGTAGTGAGCTACCAGCAAAGGATGAGGGCTTCTTTGGAGGAAAAGTTTTAGACATGGAAGACGTTGGTTTGTCAGATGAAGTCACCATTTTCTTTGATGCTGTTCCAGATTCTCCAGCTTTCTCTTCACTCTTCTTCTCTTCCTTCTGAGCTGTTAAACACAACACAATAAAAAGGTGACAAAGTACCTTACTGCAGGAATATGAAAAGGATCTTAATAAATATTTGAAGTACTTAATATACTTGGTGTATTCCCTTACCTTAGATTAAAAACTGGTGATTGCATGTAACATTTGATTAGATATACACTTCCTTATAAAAGAATACCAGTTATCAATTCTGAAAGAACAGTCTAGAAAACGATGCCTCCAAAACAGCAAAGTTTTGGGCAGGCAGCCACTTCAGTTTGTGCCATAAAATCTTTCACATGCTTAGAATTCTAACACCTCTACTGAAGATACGAATAAATGTGTACCAATACATTTAAATTTGCTTTGGAATAAACTCAGTGGTGAAAAACTGGACATAACCTAATTGTATACAAAGAAAAGCTTATTGAGGAGGCAGACCACTCGAAAAGAAGCTTTGCATGGGAAATTTATGAAGACAGAGTCAGAATATAATAGTAACCATGTTAAAAATTGCTTCCACCTTCAAAGATTCCAGGCATGGAGTTCATTGTTAAGAATTAATATTCAACGCAAAGGACAAGTGCAAAAACTTCACACCAGTGTGCTTTTCTGAAAGTTTCATGTCTCACAAAAAACTAATCTGATTTGAAAAAAAGTAATGCCATTTACATAACATCTAGTTATTGTCTATATTTTGCAAGTTTGAAAGAACAAATTCAGTCACGACTCAAATCCAACAGTTTGACTGAACTATAACAAGGTAAGTGTTATTTTAAAAAAATTTACAGGTTACAAAAATCAAGTTATCTGGCATTTGCAGCAATGAACTTTCACATTTTAATTTTTGACTGTAAAGAAAATTAGAAGAAAAGTAAAAATAATCTGACATCTCTAGCAATTTATAAATTAAACCATTTCAATTCAATTTCCAGCCAGGCTTCTGAACACACGTACATTAACAAGCATGCATTTTAGCAAATGAAACAACAAATCAGTGAAGTAAGAATATTGTTGATCTCAAATCTCTCCCACTCCCAAGGCACAGATTTGGAGTTTAAATCAGTCATTTTATCCCATCGCTAATAGAACAAAATAAACCTTTTACAGGAAACGTGTATAACATCATAAGCATAGCAGGTATATAGAGTGGGTCCATATCTTGCATTTCAAGTAAAACTTGAACACACTCTGTTAAATGAAGTTCTACAATCTAGGTGTTTGAACACTTGTTTACTTGATTACGGAAATCAGAAGTTTTCCGATTGCTAATTTCAGTGTTACACCAATACTGAGACTGAGAAAAAAGTGCAAGATGATCCAGGCTTTTGCTCCTCCAATCCCTGGAACAGCCAGGGAATGACTCAGAATGGGAAGATCAGTAAAATCAGCAGAAGCAGTTAAGGACACTTTCACCCTGAGGCATCAGAAACAGGAACATAACTTTCAAGGAAAACTTCTAATTTCCAAACACCACCTTGCATCTATCGAGATATCTCTTAGGGAAATAGTTATAAGCTTCCCCTCTCACTTGAAAATAACTATGAACTGGTTAACATGGATCCTTCTAGTCTGATGAATATTTTCAATTAGATTTTCTAAATGTAAGCTATTCTAACAAATCAGGTTAACAAGATGATTTGGCATACTTTCTGGGACCCTGCCAGAGCTACCTCATGATAACTTATCAAGGAGACCAAATCCAAGTGTTTTCTCTTCACCCTTCACATCCAGTGCAGTGGCTTCAGAAATATTGTCAAAGATATGATAAACAAGATAAATTATCATCTTCAGATAAATATGTTCTCATTAAAATTACCAAAGTTTTATCACAATTAGGGTAGCTGATGTTATGAAGAACCAATTGACTTATTACAGTTGAATATCCCTGAGGCTAAATCTCAATTATGCAAAGTGAACTGTTATAGGCCTAAAAGATAATTTCCTGATCCACAACATCCAATCAGTTACCTTCATTCAAGCTAAAATTAGATTCCATGTGGACTCCTTCCTGAATTCCATGGGGTGATATCTTTTTACATCTTAAGTAGGATAAAAATCAATGGAGTAGGTGAGGTGTCAAATCAACGGAGTAGGTGAGATGTCTGAATTTCTCCACTGAGTAAACCTGAATGATGACGTTGTCGTCCAAAAGAGTAGCTCACTATATAGTGCTGTTCCACTTCTATGCACCAGGGCAGCATTATCAATAATGAGGAACCACTGAATCGATGAAAAAACTGTGGGAAAATGGAGAAAGGAAAGGCCCAGCAGTCTGAGCTGATGAGCCTTCTGGGATCCTGAATATATTCATTTTGGAGTTAGCAATACTCATATCTTCATCAGTAAAGTCTGACTATATCTTAGGATTCTGTACAAGACCCAGCTTTATGGCATGTCAGCAGACTAGCTAAGCAGGCTAAAAATTGGACAAGAGGTGTTTCCTACCCTCTTGGTTTGGCCAAATCAGATTTCTTTGGACCAGTGGAGGCAGACAGCCCAGATAACAGCCTTGGGAACAGGAAACAAATATAGCCAAGAGCCCTGTTATTGATGTTTAAAGAAACCTCATGGTCAGCCATCTTCGGTGATTGCTGCTTTTCTGACTCATTTCAAATCTGCATTTTTTCCTCTTTCCATCAGCCAGGGCACAAGCACAGAAGTTTCTGTGAGTCATTACAATAAGGGCAGCAAGGCACATTTGGGATTTCAAAACAGACAGGGTAGATTGTGGACTCTTCGGTGCCGAGATCTTTGGTGAATTTGACTGGTGGTTCTATCACTGATGGGGTAATGGTGAATGACCTGGCAATTCCTGAGCAGTGCATTAGAACTGCAGAAATAAAATCAATGGCTAGTTTGAAGAGATGCTGGCTTGTATTTGTTGCATTTTTATGTATTACGCAGAATATTTAAAACTAGAAGAAATCCTAATGACCCAGAGGGTTCTTGTATGCAACTACAACATAGCCAGAAGCGTATCTTATTCCTTCTAAGGTGTGTAGTAGTTCACATTCAAATCAACTGACATTCTGAGAGTTATTGTGAAAATCCTTGTGCAGCTGGGATCTCATGGGGATATATATTAAGCCTCTGGCCACATGTTCAATTAATGGCATGATAGGAACAAGCTACAGTTATCTTATTACACATATTCTATAGAATTACTTTGTGGCCAGTTACTCTTTTTATCACACCATTAATTGTATGAATGTGTGGCCAGGTGACAAATTAAGACGTGATTAACTGGTTAGTCGCATCTAAAGTGTAATAGGTAGATGAAGCCTTAGGCTTAGTCAGTAAATGAAGGGACTTGTGGATCTTCCACTCATTTAGAATAGCACAGCCTCTAGATCTTCGTGGGCAAGAGATGCAATTAGAAACAGAGAAGTTAAGATGTGGAAAATGCCTTGTAAACCACCCAAGTCTATCCTCTGTTCTCCCAACAGCCTTGCTCCCTACAAAAAAGTTTTAGCTTTTCATCTTCAGAAAGGAGCTTTCACTACTTCTTTTCTAAACATACCCAAAGTCGTATAGGTATTCTTGTGCTATTGCATTTAAACAAGCTTCCCATACTAAGGGGAGAAAGTTAACTAATAAACTCAACGTAAGAGAAAAAATAAAAAGAAGGAGGGGGGGAAAGTGAGGTAAATATCAGCTCCTCCATTCTGGCATTAATGAAAGCTTAGGGTGAGGGGAAGTAAAAAATGTTGTCTTCTATCTACAGACAAATATTTTAGATATTTTTCTCATGTTTAGCTTAGATTTTTATCAATTTTGTGCTTCACTTCCTTTTTTAGGGCATTTGTTGCATCGCAGAAACTCACTGAAGCCTAAGCCATTAGTTTGATGTCTCCTGAAGGGAATACAAACTATTTTAGATATTAATAACTCCTAAAGCTCAAGCTTTCACATCCTCCTATTTGGTCACTATTTTTCCTTAAGAAGTGCCCTTTTGACCTAGTAGTTATAATATATTTACCAACACTTAATGATAAGTAGCATAACAGCAGCTTTGAAAAAGTTAGTCTCATCTGGCAGGCATTATAAATTAAACCATATAAAACACTTTTAGGAAGGACATGAGATGTGCTAAGCTTCATCCTATAACTCAGAAGTGTGCAGTTTTTACTCTGGTCCAGGTATTTCACAACAGTAATAGGCCAACAGCTCTGAAATGATCTCTCTTTGGACTCGAAAAAGAATAAAAGCTTTCTACAAGATCATCAGCTAGTGAACAAAGTGTAGATAATTATTCAATCCATATTAAACTAATCTTAAGTCTACAATTTTTAGGGATCTGGATGTAATGTATGATGTTACTATACAACGTATCTCGCTACAACAGCTACAAAAAACTAAGTGAAAAATCTGAATATTTATCTTTTTGTCTCTCAAAGTGAGATCTTTAAAATGCAGAATAGTGTTAATATGCACAAACTCAAAGCTACTAATATTTTTCCTTTAGTTTTTATTCCATTTTCACACTATTTAAACTAATTCTGGAAGGTTTAATTTCTGCTATTATTTTTAAAAAACAACATTTAAATATTATTTTGAATGTAAAATCATGAGTTTGCATAAAGCTGCAACATAAGCTGCAAGAATGCATCTCTTCTACTTTAAGTACTTAGTCTTCAAGACTTATTTAGTGGACTAAAACTTAAATGCTGAATAGTAGATAAGCTAATGTTATCTTACATTTAAAATATGAGTATCCGTTTAAAATTCTTAGAGCACTAACCCCAGCAGATAATTAAACAAAAATGTTAGCCTACAGCAAATGTTTCACCAAATTTAACACAAAGGGAAAAGTGTTTCAGCAAATTTAGGAGTGTTCATCTACATATGGTTTCTGGTATAGGTAAAAATTATTTTACCATATTCAAGACAAGCTCAACTAAATTAACATTATACACACACACACACACACACACTTTTAAATCAGAGTTCAATATGGTTAAACATAATCAATCTGTTTTTATATTTATCCTAGTTGCATATGGGCTTTTTCATTACTGTT